ACGCATAAGCTCCGTGATGATGTAGTAAGGTTCCTCCATCGTGCAGACGGCGAAGAGCTGGAGGAGCTTCGGGTGCCTCATCTTCTTGAGCAAGTGCGCCTCCGCCAGGAACTCGTCAGCGCTCATCTTGCCTGCGGGAGAGCGAAGAGAAGGGGAGTGTGAGGGGTGAGAGGGAGAGGGACATTGAGAGGGAAAGGGTGTGGAAAGGGGAAGGTGAAGGGGGTCGGGGAAAGGAGTCAGAGAGAGAGAGAGAGAGAGAGAGAGAGAGAGAGAGAGAGAGAGAGAGAGAGAGAGAGAGAGAGAGAGAGAGAGAGAGAGAGAGAGAGAGAAATTGAGAAAGAGAGAGAGAAAGAGAGAACGAGAGAGAGAGAGAGAGAGAGAGAGAAAGAGAGAGAGAAAGAGAGAGAAGAGAGAGAGAGAGAGAGAGAGAGAGAGAGAGAGAGAGAGAGAGAGAGAGAGAGAGAGAGAGAGAGAGAGAGAGAGAGAGAGAGAGAGAGATGAGAGAAAGAGAGAGAGAGAAAGAGAGAAAGAGAGAAAGAGAGAGAGAGAGAGAGAGAGAGAGAAGAGAGAGAGAGAGAGAGAGAGAGAGAGAGAGAGAGAGAGAGAGAGAGAGAGAGAGAGAGGAGAGAGAGAGAGAGAGAGAGAGGATTGAGAAAGAGAGAGAGAGAAATAGAAAGAGTAAGAGAGAGAGAGAGCGAGGAATAGACATAGCTAAAAAGAAAAAAATAATCATAAAAATTAATGATACTAATAAAGGAAAACATTCGCTTTAATCTAAGCCTTTTGCAGCAACCAATTACATCAGTTCCCCCTCCTGCTCTTGAACCCTCCTCCCCTCCTCCTCTCCCCCCCCCACCTCCCTTCTTTCCCCTTCCCTACCCTCCCCCCCCCCCCTCCCTTCGTGAGTCACGCATGGATTCGTTCATTCGTGAATTTTGTCTTCCCAGCAATGTGGAACGGAATGTGCGTTACGGGACCTACGCCGTTCCGTTTGACGTTCTCGATATTTTTCTTTTTCTTTTTAGTATGTTTATGTCTTCTCTTCTCCGTTTCTGTGAGATATTATTTTTTCGATCATTAATTTATTCTTATTTTTTCCTATTTCTTTTAGTATGTTTATATCTTCTCTTTCGGTCATCAATGTATTCTTATATTTACCTCTTTTTTGTTTATATTTTCTCTTCGTTTCTGTGAGACATTTTTTCGATCATTAATCTATTCTTATCTTTCCCTCTTTTTTTGGTGTTTTTATCTTCTCTTCTGCGTTTTAGTGAGATTTTTTTTTCTCTCATTAATTTATTCTTATCTTTCCCTCTCCTCTAATTACTGAATGCCTACCCCAGTAAGACCTTAATTAATTATACTCATTTACCTCTTGTTTCGTTTTTTTTTTTTATCGTTAATAATAGATCATCTCACGGCCTTGTTTGGTTATATTACTCTTTGGCAATTTATTTCGTAATTCATAATCAGTATGGCACCTTAATTGCATTATGATTATCATTATCATTTCATAATTTACTTTATTTTGCTTTGCTTCCTGTTGGATCTTTATCTTACTTTTCTTTCATTTTTTTATTTAATGTTATCCTCTTTTTCACTTTCCTTTTCATTTATCAATTGTTTTTCTTTTTCTTTAATGTTATCCTCTCTTTTACTTTCCTTCTCATTTACCATTCTAATTTCCTCCCTGTCTTTCTCTTCCTTATTTCTTCCTTCGTCTCCTTTCATGAGAGATGAGAGAGAGAGAGAACGAAGCTGCGAGACACGGCGACGAGGTTGTGTGTGTTTCTCTATTTACCATTCTAATTTCCTCCCTGTCTTTCTCTTCCTTTTTTCTTCCTTCGTCTCCTTCATGAGAGATGAGAGAGAGAGAGAACGAAGCTGCGAGACACGACGAGGTTGTGTGTGTGCCTCTATTTACCATTCTAATTTACTCCCTGTCTTTCTCTTCCTTTTTTCGTCCTTCGTCTCCTTTCATGGCAGATGAGAGATGAGAGAGAGAGGGGGAGAACGAAGCTGCGAGACACGGCGAAGAAGTTGTGTGTGTGCCTCTGCCGTGCCTTCGGTGCTTCTGGAGGTCTCTGCCCTTTACTCCTCTCGCCTCACGTGGGTTGGCGTGTCTCTGCTTGTGCTTGGGATCGGCTGGCGGCGGCGCACATTGGCCTTCGCTTTTATTATTTATTTATTTATTTATTTATCTATGTATATTTATTACCTATTTATTTATTTCTATTTTTTATTTATACATCTATTTATTAATCTATTGTATATTATTTATTCATTTTTTTCTATTTTTTTCATTTATACATATTCATCTATTTTATATTTATTTATTTATTTATTTATTATTCATTTATTCATTCATTTTTTTATTTTTCATTTATACATTTATTAATCTATTTTTATTATTCATTTATTTATTTATTTATCTATTCATTTATTCATATCATTTATTATCTATTCATTTATTCATTCATTTATTTATCTATTCATTTAT